AGAAGTAATGCAGCCAAGTGGCTCTTAACTCAGCTGGTAACAGTTAACTAGAGTTTCTCTTGGTTTTGTACTAAAATATGCCTCTAGAGAGAGAATCTGGAAGAGCAGAAGGAAGTCAGCAGGATTCTTACATGCACAAGCCTTGACAAGTTTCTGCCTAGAAGTCGCACATATAAATAAATAAACAGAAAGAGATAAATGAAGTAAGCTGGTTAAAGTCAGGAAGGGCACTTTTGAGCTCTGTAAAGAAATGAAGGCCTGAATTAAGCAGAACTGATCTCAAGCCCTATCATTTTCCTTCCTACTGCCTTGAAGCACTACACTCAAACCACCATCTTGCTTCGACTTTGCAGCTTCTACTGATGCCAGCTGAACAGCAAAGTTACTCAGTGATCACACTCTCTGGGACCTCTGACTTTCAGGTCAGGCAGAGCACAGAAATACTTGTGACATATAAGCAGGTGTCTGAACACAGTCCCCTTGACCCATAAGTAATCAGTTCCATACAGACGGGTTATGACACTGCATAGCCCATACTGTACTGCAGAGCTTCAAGCTGTGACTGTATACCAATAACCTCCAATATTATTCTGGTGTAGCTAATGTTACATGCACAGAGCAGGGAAGCCTAAAAATAGATACCTGGCAGAGACTTTGCGTAAAAGCTTTGCCTTAAAGGCAGCAGATCTGCACTTTTCTTCCTCAGTTTACCTGCTGGGTAAAAGAGAACAACGGCACAACTTCCAGTGTAACACACTGCCAACCACACACTGCTAATGGAACAACTATTGCATTACTCTTAGCAACAAATACAATAAAATAGATCAGTCTCTTTACAGAGTCAGAATTCAAGACATTTGAAGGATCTTCATTAATATTTCCCATTGCAGAACTGAGTGATCAGTTATGACTGCTGAAAGTCTCCCAAGGAATGCTAGTCCCACAGTCAACAAAATAATTTCATCTCACAGGTCTCCTCATAATTGTAAAGTTCCATCATGACTGAATTTCTATAAAAATGTCAAATTTACTTGAGAGCCTCTGCTGGACTTCAGTATCTCCAGCACAGCAGCAAGGAAAGAAGAGGAAACGAGACTCATTCACATGCAGAAGTGACTAATATATTTAGTGAGGTCTTTACAGGCTTACACCAGAGTTACTATTCACTTCTGGCAGGTTTTACAGCTAAAATATCTTTATTTGTTATGAAATAATTAATAGCTGACTTTGACAAACGTGTTCAGAGAACACAGAATACAGTGCTCACTGGTACGAGCACTTCCCATTTGAATGTCAAGTTGTAGGTCAACTCCAAAAAGTTTTCCACAGAACTTAAAATGAAAATAAAGCGTATATTACAAAATTGTCTTTCATGCTTTTGAGGCTTACTTGAGCACAGTCACTTCCTGTGGTTTTAGAGCTTTGAGAAGTTGGCAGTTGTTTCCAACTTTTGAAGTGTATGACAATACACGTTTCCTTATGGCACACTACAGTATGATTATGAAGGTATCCTGAATGAGCTACACAGCTCTCAGTTGCTATAAAATTCCTAGAATAAGGTGCACTATAATAGGTCAGGGGTTATCAGCACCAATGGCTTGACATGTGCCCCAATAGACAATGGAGGATAAACCTAAAGCTGTATTTCTATTCCTGGTGACACTTATACTATATAGAGATTTTGCTTCTACTTCAGGTTATAACAATTTAAACACAAATGTGTATAAATACTTGCATTTTCACACCTGCTACAAGACAGCGGACATAAAAATTCAAAAAACTAGAACAGAAGAAAAAAAACTAAGGAACAACTGAAGGCACAATTCATTATTTGGTTTCTATATGTTTGAGAAAACATTCCAAAAAAAGGGAAAGAAAACAAGATAGAATACAATAATTTATCTAAGAGAAAGTAATGGAATTTCAGCAAATAAAAGCATTTAGAAAGAGGCAATTCCAAGCTGCCAACTTACTTCCATACATCCGTTCTACCAGCTAGCAACTGTGAAACAGAAAGGGAACAGACTTCAGGAACCAACTGCAGCTTTAGAAGGGGAATACCACAGCTGTCACATAACCCAAGAAATTCTAAGGCTGTGCTAGGAGAACTGAAATAGAAGGTTTGCACATAATTGCTTAGGAATAGAGGTTTTTTTTTGTTGTTGTTGTTGTTGTTGTTGTTGTTTTAAAGCATGCTTAGTAACATCTATATTAACAAAAAAGAAGAGCAAAGTCAAGTGTCACTAAAGTGATCACAATAATTTTAACAGCATTGTAAGGGAAAATTGCATAGGTCATTGGGATGGTTAATTAGAAACTAAGCCAAGTGCTACATCTATAGAGCTTCACCTATTAGTAAAAAGATCTTTTAAAAGGACAGAAAAGAGAAAAATAACCTCTTCTGAATGGGATATTATCTTAAGAAATGCTATTTTTTACCCTTTAAATTCCAAGTTTTTCCACCGATATAGGCAGGAGCTCCTGTGCACACATATAACAAATAGACAAAAAAAACTAAGATTTGGGGGACAATCCTGCCCATAGCAGGGGATTGAAGCCAGGCAATTGTCCAACCCAGGCCATTATGTTAAAGTATTCTATATCAAAATTTATTTCAATATTCACTATCCTTCTGAATTGAAATAAGTAACTGCTTTCAGAGACCTCTATCCAAACTCATTTTAGCTTTCTGACCTATCTTCACTCTGCACTTTTTATTACAATAACTAATTCTGCACACCTTGAGAGCAGAAGTCATAAAATATTCCAAACCGCTGCATCATTCATTATATGCCTGAATATTCTTAATGAATGGATCTACACCTTTGTGTGCTATTACTCATGTGTTGAACATTATTCACAAATAATGATCTTATTGCTTCATTTTACGCCTACTGACACAGATAATTCCTTACTGCAATGGGACAGCTCACAGAAACAAGCAGTGCAGCCTGGGAGGAATATTCACAAGATTTTATCCCCATATTTTCTGTAACACAGAACGTCACAATCTCTCCTTGTGACTGCTGTCTAACCAGGAATTTATGAGATTATTATACTGTTAGTCTCAAAATTCAGGAACAGGAATGAATCAAGCACAGACAAGTCAAAGACAGCTTTATTTTCCGCAAAGAAAGTAGGTTACTCAGTTAGCTGCATACAAATGAAGCCACTATGAGTGCTGCCAGGTAGATTTTGGGCACTGTAATTTTCAATAGTAAGCGTGATATTGAAGGATCTGCCCTTACATGGATTCACAGAGAGCTGTTTAGTGCTTTTTTTTCCTGAACACTCATCAGTTTGTGATTCACTGACAGAACCACTGAGAGCATTCCCACTTGCATCTTCTGCCCTCCCACTCTGAGAGCAGTGTCACTGCCTATCTGTCACAAGATCCCCACCACAGATGTTCTGGTTCTGCACTGACTTCTCAGAAAGAGCATTCTTCCTATAGGTGTTTCTTTTTATTCTTTTATGTTACTGCCATTTTTCCCTCCCATGTTGTCAGACACAAACTAGTTTTTTCAGTCCTCCCCGACTTACGCACACAGAGTAACCTCACAGTAGCTGTGTTATGCTGTGAGGACCCAGAGCTTCTTCCTTGGGCTCAGTGAGAGCCGACTCAGACAGACCTGGTGAATGAAAATGGAATCCCTTCCTTGTGCTTTTACTTATGGGACTTATTCCTCCTAACATTGCTCAAACATACACACTTCAACTCTGGTTCCTCAGTGTTTGAGAGTAATGAACACTAAGAACTCAGAAGACCTTTTTCCCTTCTTTTTTTTTTTTTTTTTTCCTCCTTTCTTAAGCTATACAGATATGAATACAGAAGTTCAGAATAAATTACACATAGGCTTATATGCACCTATGCAGCTGTGAACCACATAGCTGACCCACTAGCACTATTCAGCATAAAGATCACAACTGAAATACAGATTCTCAGTGCAGCGTTGTCTAATATACCTTTGTACAATACTATCTACAAAAAAAAAAAAAAAAAAAAAATTTTTTTTGGGTACGCATGATTTGTCTCCAGCACCATTCCCTAAGAGACAGCGCTAAGGAAATGCTCAGTGAAACAGGGCACTTGCTCACACAAGTTAAATCAGGCAGTGTCTTGAGAAGGCAGTGACTTACAGTGAGTCTGGTTTTGCTCTCCAAATTAAAAATAGAGACACACTCACTGCAGCAAGGTGATTTCTGCAAACCCAGCCAAGGGAAAAACTACAACTAAGGACAACCTGCAGAACCCTCCTCGCAGCCGTGCCTTAGATTCCCTTTGCCCACCAATGGAGCCATTCCTTCCAGAAGGGTTACTGTGGGGTTTGCAAGACACAGTGCTGAACCTCACTGCACAGCACAGTGAGCTGTGGGACATGGTGGGCCAGCTGCCTGCCTGCAAAACTTGTGGGAATGAACTGGATATATGTTGTCTGTATCTAGAAAGCCTTCAAGTGAAGAAACATCAGGGATTTCTGTTTAAGTTACAGAAGAACAAAGAGGTATTTCCTAATCATCCCTCTGTTTCTGTACTAACCTGGGAGCATACTGGCTTCAGAAATATGAAATAATATTTTGGTAACCAAAGAAACTATTTCCAAACTATTTCTGCTCCATGTTGGTAACTGTAATCCTCTGTTATTCTACAGCCCATTTCCTCCAGCGGTGCTTTTTGCCTCCTCATTAACCATTTCTTTGGTAGCTTATGATGAGCTACACCTAGAGCTGTTCTTATAATCCACCTTTTTTTGTTCTTCCCCTTTCCCATTCAAGCCTATACCCAAATCCTCCCCAATTAACTGCAAAGGAAAAGTTCACTTCTACAGAGTAAGGCAGAACAGGCAGCCATAGCACTCTTCTAAGAGAAGTCCAGTTTTCCAAAATATATAATTTTTAATAATAAAAAAAAGTCCTGCAGCTTCAGTTGATGCTTAGCATTAAAAACAGCGTTAGCGACAGCATCGCGCTCTGCCCTTACGCACACACGATGCGCTCACCTGACTTGTCAGAGGAGTCGTCGAACTCCACGTTGAAGGAGTGCCCGTTGTTGACGATGGCTTTGGCCGTGCCGGCATCGTAGCTGAAGTTGAGGGGCTTCAGCGCTGGGTCGTAGCGGGCGGCCTTGGTGCTGATGGCGATGGGCGACTGGCGCTCCCCATTGGCGATGGGAAAGTGCTCGTGCCAGTGCGCGGGTCCTGCAAGAAAACGCGGGGCGGCTCAGGGCTCGGGGGTCAGAGGTACCGCTCTGCGGAGCGCGACGTCCCCGCGGCACCTGTACGGCCGTTAGGAAAACCCGCTGGGGAGCGAGGCGGGGGCAGTTACCGACATGAGGGGAAAGCGGCCGGGTTCCACCGGGGCAGCCTCTGCCCCATCCCCGCGTGTCGGAACGCAGAGGATGCTCGGCGCGCCGCTCAGGCGCAGGTGGCATCTCAAGGTTACAGCGGCAAAACCGTAGCGCCTCCGAGCTCAAGGAACGGCAGAGCCGCGGCGCTGCTTCCCGGGGCGGCCGGCAAGCAAAGGCGTCCCGCCGTGCCCCACACTCACCGTTGTGGCTGTCGTACCCCCAGTGATGGGACATGGTGCACCCACCCGGCTCCGTCGGCTATCTCAACGCCTTGGCTTCGGCGGGCTCTCAGGGGCTTTTATAGGCTCCCGCGAACTCCATGCCCTTCTCCGCGGCCGGAGGAAGGGGTGGGGAGCGCGGGCGGGGGCGGAGGGAGACTTCGCTCGGGGGCGGAGAGAGAGAAGTCCGCTTATAACCCGCGATCCTCCCGCCGCTGAGCCGCGCCGGGCCCGGCCGGGCACCAAACGGTTCACAACGCCCCCGGCAGGGGTGAGAGGCGGCCGTGTCCCGCGCCGCATCGGGCCCGCGCCGCGTCGGGCCGTTATTGCGCGGGCTCCTGCCCGTGGCGCGCCGCGCGGTGCTGCGACCTTGGGCCGGGGCAGCGGCGGTGGAGCGGGGCGCGTGTGTGCGAGCGCGTCCGGGGGCGAGCGGGGTGCGCGGGCGGCGTGCCGCTGCTGCGCCCTACTGGGGGCCGCGGGAACGGCTCCGTGCGCGGGGCACGGCACGGCCGGGCCGGGCCGGCGGAGCGCGGAGGGCGTGGGATCGTTCCCCGTGGGTGCCGCTTTTGGAAGGGATTAGCAAGGGTTTTGGAGGCGCGGATCAAACCGCTTAGCTGGGGGGCGTTGGAGGGTGTTTAAGAAGGAAGAGGACGCTCCTGGTTCTTACTTCAGAGCGAGATTTTGCGATCGCTCTCAGAGAAGAAGGCAGGTAGAGCCGTGCTCACGTTCGCTCACCTTGTAGGAAATGCGCGCTTATTGCGAGAGCAGTTGAATCACCACCCCCGTGGCTGGACGTGGGAAGAGAACTGAGCAGTACATATTTCAGATGCTTTCATATTGCCCAACACCGGCCCGTTTTACGGGAGCTCAGGAAAGCGCAAACCTGAGAGCTTCGTACAAAGCGCTGAGCACAGCAGCCCTGCGCCGAGTCCCGCTGCTGCTGTGCCGCTGGGGCTGCTGTGCCCTCGCTTACTCAATCACACCCAGCGGGACTGCGGGCTGTCCTTTGTGAACGCTCCTCTGTGTCCGCTCTGAGCAATTTATTGTTTTGATACGGGAATGACATTGGCAATGCTGCGGTATTTTATCCCATTTTCTCATTAAGACAGTTTATCCAAATATGTTTCAGTATTTCCTTGTGATTCAGCCCCGGGGTCCGAACTCTGCTGGCCATTGTGAGTCTGAGATAGCACCACCGGAACGATCCCATCATTTACATTCAGCGTTGTAAGCTGTGCATCATTTGTTTTGTTTTTTTTTTTTTTGTGAAGAGGGGAAAAAAGTCCACTGGTACAATGTGGTTACTGTTGCTAATACCAAAAGGAACCAGCTGGGAAATTCCATATAAAAACTGATGGCATTTCTCCGACTTTTTTGAGTATAGGCAGAAAATATTTAAAGCATATTCCTGATGAGCACAGCGTGTGTTCACTCACATTTGCATGCCTTTATTCAAGAGGATTTAGCAACTGCAAGAAGGAAATGTGGAGGCAAAGCTGTATGCACAGAAGTTATTAAGAAGTGTGTGTGACGTGGAATAGCAAATGGAAATGCACGTTAGAAGTGTACTGGCAATGCCTTGTTTGCTCATTACAGATCCTTTCTGGCAAGCGTGTTGGCAATCGCCCATAATCACACATAGAAAATCCTATGCAGGTAAATGTCCTTGAAGAATAAAATAAAAAATATTCATTTATGCTGTGGGAAGGAATAAGATTTCTGTACACTTCAGAGAGCCTCCTTCTATTTAATCTTGTTATAAAAAAATCATTTCAGCCCAATTCCTCTGCTCTCTTTATGTCAGATCTCCACTGACATGAGAGGCAGCACCATATAAAGAACAAGGAGAAGATGAAGCACGACAGAGTGTTTGGCATGGCAGGCTTCCTTAGAGTGCTGCTCAGGGTGCTTACAGGGGAAGTGGAGCCAGCAGCACTACCAAAGGGCTGGGGTTTTAATTACATTAATCTTTGTCACACTGCTCCTATGGTATGTGATGCATGCTAAGCACACACAAACATCCATCCACAAATTCAAAGCCTATAGTTCTTAAAATCAAGTCACATGCTGTTCAGCGTGGTACTTGCAGGCTTATGTCCATACCAAGAAGCTGCTAGTGTGGGCCTGGCACTGACTGGGGCTCAAGGATGGCAGCCTCCTTCTTTTCTATCTCCTGCCTATATCAGCCTCCATTCTGTGACTCAAGCTTCATGGCAGAGCACATGAATGAACCACAGAATGGCTTAGGTTGGAAGGAAACTTAAAGACAGTCTAGTTCCAACCCCCCTGCCATGGGCAGGGTGTCCACCCACTGGATTGAGCTGCCCAGGATCCCATCCAACCTGGCCTTGAACTAGGGATGGTTCTCTGGGCAGCTTGTGCCCATGCTTCACCATTCTGAGTAAAGAATTTCATCTAACTTAAGTTTCCCCTCTTTTCGTTTTAAAACCATTCTCCCTTGTCCTATCGCTATCAGACCATGCAAAAAGTCAGTCCCCCTCCTGCTTATAAGCTCAAGTACTGGAAGGCTGTAACGAGGTTTCCCCAGAGCCTTCTCCATGCTTCTAGTGAAGGAGTTGGGTGCTGGTAACAGCATAACTGAGATAACACTGTAGAAGCTGCTTACCAGGGACAAGAAGTGAGGTGTATTAGCAACAGCAGAAGAACATTATGTGCATGAACATAAATCTGTAGAAGCTCAAGCATCTCGGATAAATGTCCAGTATGATGCATAAGCTTGCTCCTCTGCCACAGTGCTGCTGAAATCTGTAGAACGATACATACCCGTGAGGCCTTCTTGCACATATAGAATGTGTAGGAGCAGTTCCTAAAGCAAATGTTCACAAATCCCATGGCAGCAGAAGCATTATAGCATTTCAAGCAATACAAACACAGGGAACAGATTAGATAATTAATGTACCCTTTTGATTACTCACGACTCTGACATTAACGCTGTGAGTAGAAAAGATGCCATTGTCATCCAGTCTCCCATTTCTGTACTGTTGCCAACAATTATTGTGTGCATTTTTTCTCGTTTGGAGCAATCCCCACACATTCTGAAGGTGTTTAGAAACTAATAAAAGCATTTTTCTTCATCTCTCTTATGTTTCTCAGAGTTAGATCATACTTAAATGTGGTAAACAAACAAATCTACGGATTTCATAGTACTTCTGAATCATACCCCTAAGTGCAAACAGAAGCTGCGCTGATGGCTTCAGTAAATGCAAACTGTTCACTGAGGTACTTCTAAACTGTTCGTGACACTCATCCTTGGCCAAACAACAACACAAAGCTTATGCTTCGCTTTGGCCCCATTTGATCTCATACATCCCAGCACAGTGGTTGACTAAGCACCAGAAGGAACGCATCCTGTTTGTCCACGATTATTATTATTTTGGAATCACTGAAATCACTGAACATGTCAGTATAGATGAAAAAATGGCACAGGTTCTTCCTCTGCAAAGCTTTTTTTTCTCCTCTGCTTTAGTCAGTTGCCAGCTTCGCGAGCATCCTAGCTTCAGGAGTAGTCACGAAAAACATGCATCAGCCTCCAGGGTGGTTTCAGCAGAAGTGCTCACAATGATCACCACAGTACTTGTAGTCTTTTTTGTTGTTGTTGTTTTCTTTTTGACAATTTTGTCTCTGCTCCTGTAGAACCATGCAGCATTGTGATTCATGCCAGCTGTTCTGTGAAACTTAAATTACAGAATTTAATATTTTGTCCTACGCTAAGGTCAGGTAGAGGGAGATCTTCCTTGTATTAAAAAAATAATAATAATCCTGTAGTAGTAATTTTTCATGAGATGATAATGTAAGTATCAACACTGCAACTCTCATGTCATATCAGTGCAGTAGAAAAGGACTGCCTGCCTCTGCCAACTTCTGGTTATTACTGATACAGTCAGCTGTGAATACACATTTAAGGAAACAAGTATACCAAAATGAACAACCTTGAGTACATGAATAACCTCAGTTTCCAGACTAAAGCTATGCCACAATTCAGTGAAATTACACCTACTGAGTAAAGCCCTATACAGTGTAAATATAATGTCATCAAAGGCATTTCATTATTGGTTTTGGTTTTGACTGGAACATTTAGCTAGGTTGCTCTGAAAGTAAAGCTTTCTATTTATTTCCATGGAAACAAAGTGCACCATAACAGTGTTTGATAGACCAAAGTCTCAGCTACAAAACACTATTTTTCAACATAGTCATCACCATTAGCTGTGTATTTTCACCAGCAATGAACAAAAACCTGCATGCCATGCTCATGAAAATCTGCATGAGCTGAGGTAACCCACTGTCACTGTCAACACTGCTGAAATGCCTCAATGTGCTCATATCCATTTTTTGGTCTCCATAAACGTTCAGCAAGCATCAATGAAGACCAGTGCGTGTAATTTTTTCTGCTTGGAGGAATTCAGTCCCATACCTTTGCTTTACATTCACTTCCATGTCAAACACCATTTTGTCAAACTTCCCCTATGCTGCCATCTGTCACACAGCAAAAAAAAAAAATGTAATGGAATATTGGTGGGAAGGTTCAAGTCCTACTGCCATTCCAACAGCTGCCTCTGGGGTTGTGGGCAAACATAAAATAGGAGGCATTATTTTCAGAGCAGTCGTCATACTTGTGTACACACCTTCCCATTCCAGGCTGGTGTACAGGCTCACCAACTGCACTCCTTGATATTTTGAGCTGTCTCACAATGTGGCCTATACCTGTCTAGTCCTTACAGCTCCAGGTGTTATTTCCTTGTTTATTGTTACTTCTTCTTTACACGTTTATGTGTCAGTACTCATCATCCTGACTTTTTGCCTATATATCTTCTTTTACGTATGCTCTATTAGTCTCGCAAACTGCTTTATTGTGACTTCTCCCATTAAAACTGCACCAGATGGTGAACTCGTAGCAGCTCTCACTGTAAGTCCTTGATACAGAATGTACATAAAAGTATTGCAAGGATACGGCAGCAGAAACTCACCAGCATGACTCAGTACAGCACCACACAAGCAAAGCAGTTAAAAATGGCTTATAAACTAATAAAAGCCACTGAGTTCCAGCTGTTCCATAAGCAAGTCACTTCCTATTCCTCTGAGGACAAAATCTTGGCAAGAAACACCAACAGT